TTACATAATTAGTGTTGGTGTCTTGTGTTACGTTCTGGTTTATTTATCAAAAAACATCAGATAGAAAGATATAATGTGTGTGTGTGTGTGTGTGTGTGTGTCCTTATCTAGCTGAATCTATCAATACTTAATAGGTAAATCAATCATGACCTTCGAAGCGAGAGTGAACTACACAAGCAGACTCACTAACTAACTCATCTCATCCCTTCACTTATTTTACCCTACCCTATCATACTCTAACCTTAACCTACCCTACCTTAACCTAACCTTCCCTACCTTAACTTAACCACCCTACCTTAACTTAACCTAATCTACCCTAACTTAACCTAGCCTAACCAACTCTAATCGAACTTGAATTAATAAAGATGTCCGGAAATATCAAAGGATTTTAAGTTAAATGTTCGTCTTATTGGGAGATGTTAACAAGTAATTAATGATCGTGTGTGTGTGTGTGTGTGTGTGTGTGTGTGTGTGTGTGTGTGTGTGTGTGTGTCTATATTAAGGTGTGTAGGTGTGTGTGGGTCTAAATATATATACTTTAAGCAGATAAAAAGTTAACTCTTACAAGTTAGTTTAAGTATGGCAAAAAAATTAACTTGCCTTCTCAGTATAGCTTAAAAAACTTTGTAGAAAATTAATCTGTAGAATTAAAATGACGGTGAGTAAAACCTGCTCCTGTAGTTAATGGAGTTGTCGGAATTTATATTTTTTAATTTATCTCGTCACTTTGAACCTGTCAAGTTACTTGATATATTTATTATTATTATTATTATTATTATTATTATTATTATTATTATTATTATTATTACGTAAACTATTGACCCTTATTATACGACTTTATATATGAGAACAAAAATATACAAGCATTAAATTTATTGCTAAATAAACATCAAAATATTGCTTACTCATTTTGTTTCATTAAAACAATTAATTTCAATATTTAATAAAGAATATAAAAGATCGCATTTAGTCCTAGAGAGAAATGCTTAATATTTTATATAAGGAAAATGTGATGATCTAAAAATGCCCTTTTTTGTTGTCAGAGTATAAAAGAGTATGTAGAGTCACTCTCGTCATTTTTAGATATAAATTAAAAACTGTTCCACTTTGGGATCATCAATTGAGAAATAAACACAAATGATCGTCTTATGTTTGTATAAATTCGGAAACCAAAACACATATCGCAAGTGACTTTTGTTTTTTATGAATTATATGAAGAAGGTAGAAATCGTAAATGATCGTCTTACTCATATAAACTATCAAAACAAAACTCATATAGTAAGTGATCGTCTTTTGTTTCTGTAAATGTATAACACATCACAAGTCGTCTTCGTTCAGGAGCACATATAACCTGTTTACCTGATCGTCTTATATAACTTAATACAGAAACTATTACATAGAAAATATCAACGGCTCTGAGTGGGGTGCAAACGTGGGAGAGGTACAGATGAGTGGGAGGGGTATAGAGGAGTGGGAGAGGTACAGAGGAGTGGGAGAGGTATAGAGGGGTGGGAGAGGTACAGATGAGTGGGAGGGGTACAGAGGAGTGGGAGAGGTACAGAGGAGTGGGAGAGGTACAGAGGAGTGGGAGGGGTACAGATGAGTGGGAGAGGTACAGATGAGTGGGAGGGGTACAGAGGGTACAGAGTGGGAGCAGATGGTGGGAGGGAGGTGGACAGATGAGTGGGAGGGTACAGAGGTGGGAGAGTGGACTGGGAGAGGTTCAGAGGAGGGACGGGTACAGAGGAGGGAGGGTACAGAGGTGGGAGAGAGAGGGGGGAGAGGTACAGATGAGTGGGGAGGGGTAGGGGGAGTGGGAGGGTACAGATGTGTGGGAGGGTGTGGGGAGGTACAGATGCAGAGGAGTGGGAGGGGTACAGAGAGACAGAGGGGGGGAGACAGATGCAGATGAGTGGGAGAGGTGGAGAGTGGGAGAGGGTACAGATGGTGGGAGGGTACAGAGGACAGAGGGTGGGAGAGGTACAGAGGTGGGAGGGTACAGAGGGAGAGAGGAGAGAGACAGAGGGAGTGGAGAGGGAGGGTGCAGATGGTGGGAGAGGGTACAGATGGAGTGGAGAGGTAGAGAGGAGGAGAGGGTGGGAGGTACAGAGGAGTGGGAGACAGATGAGTGGGAGAGGTACACAGGGGAGGTACAGAGGAGTGGGAGAGGTACAGAGGAGTGGGAGAGGTACAGAGGAGTGGGAGAGGTACAGAGGAGTGGGAGAGGTACAGAGGAGTGGGTAAAGAGATGAGGCAAGTGAAAAGCGTAACAGTATGATACCACCACTATGTACACACAACACTACTATGTGTACACAACACCACTATGTGCACACAACACTACTATGTGTACACAACACCACTATGTGCACACAACACTACTATGTGTACACAACACCACTATGTGCACACAACACTACTATGTGTGCACAACACCAATATGTGTACACAACACCACTCTGTACAAACAACATTACTATGTACACACAACACCACTATGTACAAGCAACGCCACCATGTAAACGCAACACTATTATGTACACACAACACCATTATGTACACACAACACCATTATGTAACACAACACCATTATGTAACACAACACCATTATGTAACACAACACCATTCTGTAACACAACACCATTATGTAACACAACACCATTTTGTACACACAACACCATTATGTAACACAACACCATTATGTACACACAACACCATTATGTACACACATCACCATTATGTAACACAACACCATTATGTACACACAACACCATTATGTACACACAACACCACACAACACCATTATGTAACACAACACCATTATGTAACACAACACCATTATGTACACACAACACCATTATGTACACACAACACCGTTATGTAACATAACACCATTATGTAACACAACACCATTATGTACACACAACACCATTATGTAACACAACACCATTATGTAACACAACACCATTATGTACACACAACACCATTATGTACACACAACACCATTATGTACACACAACACCATTATGTACACAACACCATTATGTAACACAACACCATTATGTACACACAACACCATTATGTACACACAACACCATTATGTACACACAACACCATTATGTAACACAACGCCACAAGTACTCTAAATGTAGCTAATAATTGGCTGTACACAAGTGAGCGATAATCGAGAGCACCACTATCACTCTGTCACCTGCTGTCACTTCATGGCTAGAATGGGTGTCATAAACTATGCCGTGACAGTCCTGACAGCACATTGTCACGGCAAGTTTGTTCTAACAGGTATAATATCGAGGTTGTTTCATAACAGTCGAGCTTGTCATGAATTACCTAGTTTGACAGGTTTAACAATATATTGTCGTGGGTCATAGTACGCTCCTACTTTTCTTGACACCTCTGGTTATTGTAACTCCTGATACACTGTAAGTCTTTCTCTACATAATTTACCCAAACATTATCTGCATTCCAAAATTTTGTGGGTTAGGTCAGTTTAGGATAGTTTAAGTTAGGTAACGTTAGGTTTGGTTTGGTTAGGTTAGGAGAGGTTGCATTGCATTTTATTAGGTAAGAATTGATTGTGTTGTTGTTTCTACTTAAATATTGGTTCGAGTTCTTAAAAAAAATATATATATATATACATAAATTATTACCGCAAATTAATTGGTTCTACAAGGCAGGACAACTATGACAAATTAGCTTTCTTATGACAGCATGACAGTATATAATGACAAGAGACTTATTTTGACAGTTCCAGTGCCACAAGACAGCCCTGAGATCATATTGTCATAAATTATACATTCTTACAGCTAAAGTGTCACAGTTAGTACTAGAGAAATAATTGGTAACTCGATTAAAAAAAAATGGGTTCGTAATCCCTAAACAAAATCATTTAATATACAATGAAACTTTTCCGATGGGTTAAATCGTTCTCGTTCTTATGTATATGACGAAGTTTAGTACAATTATAATAAAAATCTCGGGTCATGTGAATATTATAGCCCCAGCTTATCTCACCCGAAGATCAAAACCCAAGTTTATTTCTTCTGAAGAATATAGCCACCAGTTACGTTAGGGTAGGTTGAGTCAGCTCAAGAGTACGATACATTTGGTTAGGTCAGCGCTAGGGCAGGATATGTTACGTTAGGTCAGCGCTAGGGCAGGATATGTTACGTTAGGTCAGCGCTAGGACAGGATATGTTACGTTAGGTCAGCTCTAGGACACGATATGTTGCGTTATGTCAGCGCTAGGACAGGATATGTTAGGTTAGTTCAGCATCAGGGTGGTTAATCATTAGGTGATATAAACTGGGAGGTTAATTTACAGGTGATTCCATATTTTTTGGACTGGTACCTCACCTTCATCCATGTCTACTTTCATTTAATCAATTCCACCTCAGTTCGTTATACTTAAACTTACTCCTACGTCAACCTTATATTTATTCTTATCATTAATTTATCTTCTTTTTGTTCTAATTATTTCATCTTGGTGGGAAATAGGTGATAAATGGGTTCGTTATCGCCCATCCTTTAACGTACAGAGAGGGAGATTAACGGTTCTTACCTAGTTGTGTAGATATATGCAGTAGGGTGTAGAGAGGAAGGTGGGTGGGGAATTGGGCAGGCAGGAATTTGTGTAGGTATGTGAACAGGTAAGTATGTATGTAGGGAGACAGGTAAGCAGGTAGGTAGATAGACAGGTAAATATATAAGTAGACAGGTAATTGGGTAGGTAGATAGTTAGACAGGTAGGTAGGTAGGTAGATGAATAGGTAAGTATGTATGTAAGTAGACAGGTAAGTAGGTAGGTAGAGACAGGTAAATATATAAGTAGACAGGTAACTGGGTAGGTAGATAGGTAGATAGGTATGTAGGACAGGTAAATATATAAGTAGACAGGTAACTGGGTAGGTAGATAGGTAGATAGGTATGTAGAGACAGGTAAATATATAAGTAGACAGGTAATTGGGTAGGTAGGTACTCACCAGCGACAGCAGACGAAGAAGAGACACTTGTTGCTATGGGTGCTGGGAGTTGCTCTCTCCGGGTCGCGCGCCGCACTGCCACCTAGCCAGATCTGCCCAGCTCAACCTTCACCTCACGAGTCCATAAAACGTTCCTTCCCGGCCTCGCTAGTCACACCTGCGCCTTGTGGCTCGTGTGTCGTGGCAGCACTCGGGGGTCGTTCGCTCTAAAATAAAATAAAATGCCTGTTCCTTGTTTTCTGCTGTGTTCGCCGCCACTGCACACCACCAAGCCGCTGTTCCGCACACGAGCTGGAATAGTTATACTGTGGTGGAGGTCCTGCCGGGTGGGTCAGCGTTTGCTTATATAGCCGGTGACCCGCTTACTGTGTTCGAGGGGGGTTAAGCATCTTCTGATTGGCTCCGGGGACATGACGTTGAGTGGAAAGCTCTCGTGATTGGTCCCCTGGTGACCACATAGCTGTGTTGTGTCTTTCTGCAGCTATTGGTTACTCGAGTGTAGGAGGGGGTTGAAAGGGACGAGAGCTCCCTGCTCCCACCACACACTGGGTCTTGAAATAACATAAGAACATAAGAACATAAGAAAATAAGGAGTCTGCAATAGGCCGGTTGGCCTGTGCATGGCAGCTCCTGTCGAGAGTTACTACCACTCTCTATCATCCATGAATCTATCTAGCCTCCTTTTGAAACTTTCCAGAGTTCCCGCACTTACCACAAAGTTGCTAAGCTTGTTCCACTCGTCCACCACCCTATTTGTGAACCAGTTTCTTCCTATCTCCCTCCTTAACCTAAACTTATCCAACTTGAATCCGTTGCTCCGAGTCCTATCCTGCTCGGATATTATAAGAACTTTATCTATATGCCCTTTATTGATTCCTTTCACCCACTTAAATACTTCAATCATATCTCCCCGCACTCTTCGTCTTTCTAGGGAATGCAAGTTAAGTTTCTTTAACCTATCCTGATATGGAAGGTTTCTAAGTCCCGGAATCATTTTTGTCATTCTTCGCTGCACCGACTCTAGTGAATTTATATCCATTCTATAATAGGGGCACCAGAACTGAACCGCATAATCGAGGTGCGGCCTGACTAGCGCAAGATATAGTTGCAATAAGACCTCTGCACTCTTGTTACTTACACTTCTAGATATAAAACCCAATGCTCTGTTTGCCTTATTTCGAACATTAACGCACTGTTTTCTAGGCCGTAGGTCCGGGCTTACAAGTACCCCTAGGTCTCTTTCACAAGTCGACTTCTCTAGGTTGATGTTGTTAAGGCTGTATACATTATAAGTATTTGTTCTTCCAATATTAAGTACGCTGCACTTGCTGGTGTTGAATTTCATTTGCCATTTTTCAGACCACCCCTGGCTGCCCCTCCATATTGATTCTTTCATATTTTCGAAAATAAAACAAGGTGTAGACGTCTTCCAGGCGAGACTGTAATGACTCTGTTAGCTTGTCATTGCTCATCAGTAAACAACATCTCACTTTAAGACAAAAACACATGGTTTAACCTTTCATAATATTGGACACAAACGTCTTCCATCAGATGGTAGAATGGGAAAACTTAGATTAATTTTACAACGTCAACTCATATTTACTAACTAGCAACTCATCCCAAAATGGTTTAATACAGTGTGTGTTAGAGGTTAGATTTGTTTAAATTAGGTTAGATTTGTTTAAATTAGGTTAGATTTGTTTAAATTAGGTTAGATTTGTTTAAATTAGGTTAGATTTGTTTAAATTAGGTTAGATTTGTTTAAATTAGGTTAGATTTGTTTAAATTAGGTTAGATTTGGTTATATTAGGTTAGATTTGGTTATATTAGGTTAGATTTGGTTAAATTAGGTTAGATTTGGTTATATTAGGTTAGATTTGGTTATATTAGGTTAGATTTGGTTATATTAGGTTAGATTTGGTTAAATTAGGTTAGATTTGGTTATATTAGGTTAGATTTGTTTAAATTAGGTTAGATTTGTTTAAATTAGGTTAGATTTGTTTAAATTAGGTTAAATTTGTTTAAATTAGGTTAGATTTGTTTAAATTAGGTTAGATTTGGTTATATTAGGTTAGATTTGGTTATATTAGGTTAGATTTGGTTAAATTAGGTTAGATTTGGTTATATTAGGTTAGATTTGGTTATATTAGGTTAGATTTGGTTATATTAGGTTAGATTTGGTTATATTAGGTTAGATTTGGTTATATTAGGTTAGATTTGGTTATATTAGGTTAGATTTGGTTATATTAGGTTAGATTTGGTTAAATTAGGTTAGATTTGGTTATATTAGGTTAGATTTGGTTATATTAGGTTAGATTTGGTTATATTAGGTTAGATTTGGTTATATTAGGCTAGATTTGGTTAAATTAGGTTAGATTTGGTTATATTAGGTTAGATTTGTTTAAATTAGGTTAGATTTGTTTAAATTAGGTTAGATTTGGTTATATTAGGTTAGATTTGGTTATATTAGGTTAGATTTGGTTATATTAGGTTAGATTTGTTTAAATTAGGTTAGATTTGTTTAAATTAGGTTAGATTTGGTTATATTAGGTTAGATTTGGTTATATTAGGCTAGATTTGGTTAAATTAGGTTAGATTTGGTTATATTAGGTTAGATTTGGTTATATTAGGTTAGATTTGGTTAAATTAGGTTAGATTTGGTTATATTAGGTTAGATTTGGTTATATTAGGTTAGATTTGGTTATATTAGGTTAGATTTGGTTATATTAGGTTAGATTTGGTTAAATTAGGTTAGATTTGGTTATATAAGGTTAGATTTGGTTATATAAGGTTAGATTTGGTTAAGCTAAGTTAGATTTGGTTAAGCTAGGTAAGATTTGGTTAGGTTTGCTTATATTAAGTTAGTTTATATTTGGCTAAGTAAAGTTAGGTAAAATTATATTTGGTTAGTTATAGTCAGATATAATTAGGTAATGATAGCTTAGGTTAGCGTTAGGTTAAGATAGGTTAGGTTAGGTTACGTTTGGTCATGTTAGCATCAGCAGAATTATTCTTAAGGTAAAATAAGCTGGGGTGCCTAGTCTTCATGTAATCAATATATATATATATATATATATATATATATATATATATATATATATATATATATATATATATATATATATATATATATATATATATATATATATATATATATCCTGCTTATGTCAGTATCATCTAATTCATGTTTCTACTTTTCTTATTGCTAATATTCATTTATTTACATAATCCTGTTTATCTTTTGATCCATTTCGTGGTATTTAAGACTACAAAATCAATGTTTTGACTTGTTGTGGGGTTTTCTAAATGTTTTTGATAAGGAAACGTAACCTGAAACTATATAAGAAAATAGGCAGCTATCTATCTGTCTGTCTGTCTTTGTCTGTCTGTCTGTCTGTCTTTGTCTGTCTGTCTGTCTGTCGAAAGAGAGAGACGGAGAGAGGACACTAACTTACCTCGTCCGCCTCGGATATAATACCAACATGTTATTGTGTCGGCAAATAAATCAAGTCAGAACGCCTGGTAGATTTGTGTTGTGATGATTTCCAACCGATGTTAAATTACATTGAGAGAGAGAGAGAGAGAGAGAGAGAGAGAGAGAGAGAGAGAGAGAGAGAGAGAAAATTTATTTGATAGATAACGTCTGAGAAAGAAAAAATGAGGTACAGAATGAGCAATTAGAAAAGAGAGAGAAAGATAGAGAGAGATATAACGAATGCTCTGAAGAATTTAAAGAAAAAACTACTAACCTCTTTTGAAATAAAATCAAGAAACTTCTCAGGAGTAGTTGTAGTAGGCGTAGTAACAGTAGTAACAGTGGTGGTAGTAGTAGTAGTAGTAGTAGGATATTTAATCTTAAGGTAATAAAATGGTGGCGAATGTGTGGCTATGGGGGGGGCTAGAGGCCAACAAAGTAGTAGTAGTAGTAGCAATATTGGGGGAGGCTGGAGGCCACGTATAAAAAAAAATAGTAGTAGTAGTAAGAGCCAATGATCTAAGGTACGGTAGGCCAGTAGAAGGTTTGCCCTCTCAATGCGTGCGTGTGTTCTTCGTATGACGTTCATCACGCCATGGTGTGCAAGAAAGGGGGCTTCATATGCATGAAGTATGACGAAGTAAGGGGTCTCACAGCAAATATATTGAAGGAAATCTGCCGTGATGTCATGGTAGAACCGACCCTCCTTCCATTGGACGGTGAGATCTTCCAACACAGGACTTCAAACACATCCAACGAAGTCCGTGTCGACGTCAGTGCTCGAGGATTCTGAGCGCGGGGACAGCGAGCCTTCTTCGACATCAGAATTTTTTATTCCATGGCCGCATGTCACCGTAACTTAGCTCTCGATGCTGCACACAGGAGGAACGAGAACGACAAGATAAGGGGATAAGGGGAGAGAATTCAGAACGTTGATCAAGGCAGCGTCTTTCCTCTTGTGTTCACAACCTCTGGTGGTATGGGACCAAGTGCAAGATTCTTCTACGCCAGACTCGCGGAGGTGATATCCGGACAGAAGCAGCAGCCCAGAAGTTATGTTACAGCCTGGATGAGATGTCGACTGTCCTTCTCTCTCCTTCGGTCGGCTTTGCTCTGCCTCAGGGGAACGAAAGCATCGATCCCAAAGCCGACAACAGTTGCATATATTGACTATGAGGCTACAGTCACTGAATGCCGCATAGATTGGTGGCTCAACTAACTCAACACTGCTAGGTAATAAAATGGCGGCGAAGGTGTGGCTGTTGGGGGAGGATGGAGGCCACGATAAAAAAAGAAAAAGAAAAGAAGTAGTAACAGTAGTAGGAGTAGTAATAGTAGTAGTAGTAGTAACAACAATAGTCGTAACAGTAGTAGTAGTACCAAACAAGGCCATATGCAGCAATTAATTAACATAAAACAGGCGGATTTAGTCGGCCCATTGGTTAGAGATAATTCCCGGGTTGATCATGCAATTTTTAACTCGTGTTCGTGTCCCGGGTTCAATGTTGGACGTGATTCTTGCGTCATTGTTTTGGTTAAGACTTGTTTAGTGCGTAGCAGTGAGTCAGGAGAGAGAGAGAGAGAGAGAGAGAGAGAGAGAGAGAGAGAGAGAGAGAGACCTATCCTTCACTGACTAGTCGTTGAGTCAAAAATCTAACTAGCGAGGACAAGTCAATGAACACAAAATATAAATCTGAGTCACTTGAGACAGAAGGAGGGAGCCTATCAGATTGACTGGCTACCTCATCGTCATAAATAATGATGTCGAGAGTGGCAAAGTACACAGGAGAGCGTGTAAGTAAGATATTAGAATAGAATTTCC